TCTTAAACAATATTGGAGAGTCAAATCACTGCATTTTGTTTTACTGTCCAGAGATTTTTTTATGAGCATCTTGGATTGTTTTTACATCCTGTTCCTTGCAAAAATAAATGCACTTATTAGATGGGTAAAAATAGATACAGAATTTCATTTTAATGTGTCTCCTTAAAAAGTTTATATAATCTTCTCATGTTTACCTTGTAGCTTTATGGTTCTGTTTTCTGCATTTAACTGTCTGATGCTTCACTGAAAGAATTTTATGGATACATAAAAGCAAAACTTGACTATTTCACTTGAACTGGTTATCTAAATAGGAGCTGGTACGTCCTGAGAAATTTCAAAATCTTCCATTTAAAAACACATCTGTGAATCTCTTTGTAAAATTTATTCTCTTCTTGTGTGCCATCAGCTTCCTGATGTGTGGAGAAATGCAGGTTTTCTTTTGTTTCATCATGTCATTCAATTTTCCACCTGAAAGCCTGATCCCCATTTGTGATATTTAGTTTCCACGATGACATCCCAGATGGGGAATAATTGGAAGGCAAAGTGTACATTTTGAAGAAAGATGAACTCCACAGTCCAAACTTGATTTTTCAGTTGTTTCAGAATAAAAAGAAATATTAAAACCCCAGAATATTTTAAGGTAGTGGTTAGAGCTGCCAAACTTTTCCTGGCTTCCTATAAAGACTTCTGCAGCTCTGTCTATAATCAACCCATCCTGGGTATAAACTTCAAGGGCACTTTGAACTTTGTGAAAGCCAAATTATTATTTTAAAATTAAAGTTGCTGAATTATTCTTAAATATCTATTAAAATGCCACCTTTATTTCAGTGAAAAGCAACGTATGAAAGTACATTTATAAGGTTTAATATTTCAGTGATAGTCACTGACATTGGATTTTGCTTTATCTGAGTGCCAAGATTCAGGAATATCCACCCACAGGGGGAAGTGGCTGTTACAGAAATTTGGTGTAAGGACCAATATGTTGGTTAAAACCTGTTGTAGATGTTTTTTGCTTCTTTTCCCTTGATTTAGCTCCGACTCTGGAGTTTGCAGCCTCAGGGATGAGCAGACACCTATTCTCCTGCATCAGAAGGGTTTTTCTTTGTGGTGTTGGGTTGTCTACCTTTTACAGTAAAAAATCCATTATTCTGGCTCAGAGGGCTCATTAGTGATCACTCCAAAACAACACACAAGTGTCTCAATCAGTGATTAGAAAAAATGTTCATATTTCCATTTGATGCCCCTTGGAGATGCCAGGAAAATTCAGATTTATCCCCTTCACAGGGAAATATTTGGGAACCTTAAATGCAGCAGTCAGCCCAACATGTAGGGATATTAAAAATATCTATATATCCCAAGCCAAATATTCTTCTTGCTATTGGATAGGAGTGCAGAGGGACACAGATCCAAAAACTGGAGCCACCTTGCCTGTTGGCCTGAGCTGGGGATGCTCTGGGCAGTGAGTGCTGTTTGTCAAACAGAGCCCTGAATTACCTAAAGACAACTCCTTTGAAACTGCCTTATTAGAACAGGAAATTGCCCTGTTATTTCACCAATTTGCTCTGACAAACTACTTCGTCTGATGGAAAGGATGTGCTTTCTCAGTTCCAAGGAAAGTATTAATAACTTTAATTGCCTCTTATTAGCAATTTTACAAGATGCTGAGCACATAAGTACACTTTCTAGCAGTCTATAAAAGAGAACAGCATTAAGGATATTTCCATCACTGCTAATCGTTTTCTGGCTGGAAAACAAGATTTTTCCAGAAATATTTGAACGTGTCACATGTGGTTGTGCTGTGCTGCGGAATGACATCAACAGCATTGGTATTTTCAGGACAGGAGGTGAGAGGAGTCCTCTGGTATAACTAAAAATTCACCATTTGAGTACTTTGCATCCTCACATGATTCAAAGTCAGGACTCAAATGTTGCTCTACTGGAATATAAACCTGCTCTTCTTGAAAGAAACAGTTGTACAGCCCTAAACTGCAGGTAGATGAGATTTGACCTTATAAAAGCATTTTGGCATACATTTTGCACTAGCGTTTCTGCAGGGTAATCCCTTCAAGAGTGTTTCTTGTTATTTGGGGATATTCTGGTTTTATTTTGCACTGCCAGGTTCCAGATTCTTAATGACAACTCTGTAATGTGGCTTTGCATGCAAAATTTATTTTTTTTCAAAAATATGTTATGGATTGGATAAGAATTGTCCTTTCAAAAGTCCAAATATCTAGTTTTTAATAAAATTATGCTTTCGCATTGGAAAAATGGGATATATTAAGGAGGGGGGGTGTATGTATGTACAGATAATCATGGAATAATTCAGGTTGGAAAAGACCTGTAAGACAATTGAGTCCAACTGTTATCCCAGCTCTGCCAAGGCCACCAGTGACCCATGTCCCCAAGAGCCACATCTACATGGCTTTAAATCCCTCCAGAGTTAGGGACTCCACCACTGCCCTGGGCAGCTCTGACAGGGCTGGACCACCTTTTCCATGGGGAAATTTGCCCACTATCCAATCTAAACCTCCCCTGGCACAGCCTGAGGCCGTTCCCTCTCCTCCTGTCCCTTGTTCCCTGGCAGCAGAGCCCGACTTCCCCTGGCTCCCCCCTCCTGTCAGGGGGTTGCAGAGCCAGAAGGTCCCCCCTGAGCCTCCTTTTTCCAGGCTGAGCCCCCCCAGCTCCCTCAGCCACTGCTGGTACCCCAGCCCCTTCCCCAGCTCCATTCCCTTCCCTGGACATGCTCCAGCCCCTCAATGTCCTTCTAGTTCTGAGGGACCCAGAACTGTCCCAGGATTCAAAGTGCCTCAGCAGTGCCAGCACAGGGGACAGTCCCTGCCCTGGGCCCGTGGCCACACTATTTATGCATCTTTAATGGAAACAACAAGCTCCCTTCACTCAAACACAATCTGGCAAGTCCACGTAGATGAAAGAAGCAAAGGAAAATCTGCCAAACCAACTGCTTTGATCCTGCTTGGAAAAGTCCCAAAGAACCACAAAACCCCACCAAAAAGAATTCCTCCTGTTCAGAAGGCAGGAATTTGAGCTACAGCTTGTGGGAAAACAATTCTGGTCAGTGAGGCAGATGCCACTTAATTATTACTGCTCAAAAACCTCAGCCTTTGGTTATGAGTTTCGGTTATCAAACAGGATGGGCCACAACCAGCTCTGATCACTGCACAAACACCTCCCCGCTCCAAACTTTTGTAGTAGAGAAAATAAGATTAATTTAAGCCTGCAGAAAAGCTTGGCAGGTTTTCCACAGCAATTGCCTCGATGCTTTTATCTCTTTGAAATAGATGAGCCTCTTGCAACAAAAGGAGCTTGAAATCACACAACCGTGAATGAAGTTCACAAATAGGAAAGGTCTAATCACAGTGAAGTTTTCCTCCTCTTCTTTCCCAAAAGCTTCTATGCTTCATCTTCTGCTTTACAAGTGGTTTCTTTTAAGAACTAATCAGAACCAAAGCATATGGGAAACCACAAGGAAGCTGCCTCATGACAGTGGAGCGGTACTCCTAACAATTTATATTATTTTATTCTCTTATTACCCCTTAACTTCTGAGCAGCACAAGGTGAACCAGTTGTGTAACTCTATCTCATGGCATAAAACCAGCCTTTAACAGCTTTAAACTCAGAGATGGCCAATAAAAGAATACAAGTATCCAACTGTTGTATGAAGTGTTTGGTGTTCCCTTGTAAATACTTTCATTGCCTGTTGATAAGCAGGGACTGGCATTCTCTGACTTGCCCATCGGCCCAATTCCAACCCCACTCTGGCAAGTCAGGACATTTTTGTCATTAACAGTTGTGCCAATTCAGGGATGGGTGTCTTTGGGGCAAGGAAGTAGATTAAGCTGGGAAAACCTGCACACAATAGTGATTCTTTAGACAACGACTCAATGACTGCAGTGGCTCCACGGGAGCTGAAGTAACATGACCTTGTCATTGCACAACACCAAAGCACTGCCAAGGACTGACAGCAAGGACTGGGAA